GAGCAGCCCCTTGAGATGGAGGTTATCAGTTGCCAGGATACAACGGCATCCATGGTATGTAATGAGGCAAATAATTTTTGCAGATTGGATCTGTGAGAGTTTTTTCACTTTCCTGGCTTCAGTCCCTGATTAATGTTTACTTTCATGTAGTCAGATACACTATTTCACTGGTGAATATATAAAGCATTCAGGCATGTGTTCAGTTTTAAACATCATTACTTAGCAAGCTAAAGTACAGCCTGTGCGTAAGAATGATGGGATGGTGGTTGTTCCTTGTGGTTTTTTATTGGTTGGTTGCTGGTTTTTTTTGTGGTGGAGCTACTTGGATTAATTGCATTATAAATTCCAGGGCGTATTTTATTTTCCTCAGAGTTGTAGCAGAGGATAAAAATATTACCCTGTTCAGCACTGGATAAATCAATGAAATATAAATAGAACATCAAATAATACATGCTTGTTTTCTATGCACTGTCAACATAAGCAATCTGTGACTTTTGTATTAAATCACTGTATGTATGTGTATATATATACTGTATGTATTTTTCATTTTGGTTGACTTTAACTGTCTAGTCAGTTGCTAAGTTGCTGTAAAAGCTTTAAGCTAAGGAAAAATTATCACAAGATTAAAAAATGTTAAGCTCTAAACAGCTTAAAACTTATTTGCAGTGTGAGAGAACCTGTAGTTCAGCTAAGTCACTGCTTCAAGCTTCTAACATTCCCTGGCAAGCTTAGGCACTGAAGTATTGTTGGGATTAAGGTGCTTTTACTGCTGTTCAGTTTTCTTGTTTTGTTTAAAAAGTTGACTTTCCTTATTTTCAATAAGGAGTTACACACCTGCCATTCCCAACTGTTACAGACTATATTAGAATTGCTTCAGGGCACAGCTAAGGCAAGACAAATAAGGTTGTGCCTTTCAGGTATCCCAGAAGACTGTCCTACAGCAGCTCTTGTCATAGTTACAATCAACATGGAACTTGTCCAAATACAGCAAAAAGACTCCTTCACAGATTTGTGCAAGAACTACATAGTTAAGCTTTGTAGAGAGGTTAGTGTATATATTGTATAATTACACTAGAAGCCAGTAAATGCTAACACAACCCATAGAAAACATTCACAAGTCCCTTTATGCTTTGCACAGGATACTCTTGAGTCTACATGGGCAAAATCCACATCACAACATGCTGAAGAGCCTTGTGTTCAGTTAGTATGTCATCAGCATAGAAAGCTTGCTGTAGTCTGCCTTGGAAAACTGTCTGCACAGTAACCTTTTGTTATCTTCAAAGTTTTGACCCATTTTGGGTGACTGATTCTTATAATGCTTCTCTTTTTCCTACAGCATAATAAGAGTGCTACTTATTCCGTGGGAATGCAGAAGACATATTCCTTAATCTGTTTAGCCATGGGAGAGGATAAGAATGATCAGACCAAGAAAGCCCCCCTGAAACTGCCTTTTCTAAGTTGGGGAACTAAAAATAGACAGAAAGCTGCAAGCACCCTCTGCCTACCTTCAGCTGTAGCTGGAAGTTCTCAGATTAAGAAGAAGCTCTCTCCCTTCACACTTTTGAATACGGAAAGTTCATTGTACTGAATCTTTCAGAAGGATCTGTTAACAGGACATTTGTCTTTAAAATGTATATAAAAAACATAAATCAATTTTATACATACAAGTGTGTATGAATTCAGACAAATGCCACTGACTTCACTTACTGTGTATTAGGCTACTAAGGTCAGAGGCTGGCAAAAACTGTAAAACTTAAGTATTTGAAGGTCAGAATGAAGTGGTTTGGGAGACATGCAATAACAAGGTGCAGATGATAAAACTGCTCATATGAGGACTGGATTCCTTTGGAATTTCAAAATACAGTATAATTAGTAATTTTTTATAATTATGATAGATGAGTTATTTATTACAAACTTGACGCTGCATGCAAAGCAATATGGGACACATTAAAGTCATTAATAAATCACTTAACAGTACTTTAAAGAATCAATTTAAACCACAGGCAAGAGAGAATAACACTATTCAGCGAAACTAGCCTTGTGCCAAGGGGCAGTGTCCTAAAGGTGTGGGTTTTATGCATAGACATTCTGAGAGTACTAGGTGTATTCTACTGAATAGTTAATTTAATTCTGGAAGAGAATTAGAAGGCTTAGAAGTTAAAAGATCTTTTGAACTACAAAAGGCTTTTTACTCTGCTCTTTTCTGATCTAGATTATATTTTAAATGCCTGCTGATTCAATTGTTAAAAACAGGCTTAATTCCGAACTTGAAATTATTTAACCTACTTACCATATGACTTGTATCTCACTAGTCTTGATAAAAATGGTAGCTATGAAACCCATCTCAAAGCTGACATATTCCACTATATTGATCAAGACTACATCATGGTGATGCTTTAAAATATAAGGAAAAAGTGCTTGTGAGTTTTAAGTGGCAGAATATCTATTATCACACCAAGTAGAAAATAAATCAAATAGATATAAAATAATCCTCCTCCCCTTGGAACAACTGAGGAAGTATTTGCTATATATATATTAAGGAGGGAGACAAAAAATAACTGAGCATTTGAGATTCTTCTCTTCTGAAATTGAAATGAATTGAAAATTGCTAACACTGTAGTGTTAGTTAACATTGCCATCTACAGAGTAGATATATGCTGTTTGATACTCAAAACTTAAAATAAGGGGAAAGTGTGTCTGGGTGTAAACTTTAAAGTTGTCATTTATTTTTAGTTTCTTATGTAATAGGTGTAAATATGTTGACTTATTTAAGAATAAAAATCAGATGCTGCCATTTAGTAGTAGCTTTGGATTCTGTTACAGCTTGGATGATACGGCATAACTTAAAAGTTTTCACTATTCACTGCTGGCATATATACCTCTTGCATATTTCTGTAATGTTGCTTACAAAGATCTGAGAAACTGTCTCTCTTTAAAATTTATATTGTATAGTACAAGAACTTAAAATTTATAGTACAAGACTTGTTTCCTTACAAAGAGTATTAACATATTTCTGCAGTTCCCCTATAAAGGTTACCTAAAAATGTTATAAATTACTTGTAACTCACCTATTCGTAGTAGCTACTCTTCATGTGTAGTTGTAGTAGCACTTTTACACACACACACAAGCAGCAGCACTGATACACGAGCCTTGCCATACAGAATTCTATGTAGAGATTTACTTTGCATGTATGGTTAAAATTGCTATCCAGCTCATTAATGTTTAGCAAAGTTATATGAATCTCTGGCTCTTCATTTCTCTTAGCCCACTATGACATCTTCCTGCAAGTATCTCACCTACCCTTAGCTGCCTTTTCATTTCCATCATCACATTCACCAGTCCTTGAGCAAAGGTTGGGGTGGTGTCTTTTTTTATTTAACAACCCCCTCCCCTCAATTCAAGCCAAAATCTGGGCTTACCAACTGCCATACAAATACATTTTTCTGTCAGCTAACTAAACATTCATTCTACACTGAGTGGTAGCCAATAGCTAACTTAAGGCAAATATTAATTTCATTGCAAGTTACATTCTTGCTCAGACCACAGGAATATTTTTAACAAGTTCCTATCTGCAAGTATGTATAGGGCTACTAAAAATAAAGGTTTGCAATAGATTAGTAGTTCAGCCTATAACTCTATTAGTATTAATTGTTACTACTTCACTTGCACTTTATTTAAGGCACTGAGCAGATGGACAGTTGAAGTAGTAAAAAGATGTTTACCTTGCAACATCAATAGCCACTTACCTTGAATGTGAAATTCAGTCACCATCGCAAAGCAACAAAGTCTGAGAGGGAAAAAAATCTAAATAGATTTCTAAAGAAGCTTAACCATTCCCAAATTGTAAGAAATATTATCTTATTCCATAAATTCTGATATAATTTAGTAAATTAAATACTTATGCCTAAACTATATTTTCATGCCAAGTAAGGATCAGTATAAATAACAGGTGTATCTGCCGCCCCTCTAACCAGTGGATGAGGTTACTTACAGAGGTGCCAAGGGGCCATTATTCTTATGTCTTTAATTTACAAAAGGAGGCTTAAAATCCTGCTTAGCTGCCTTCCTGCTGTGATCCAAACCCCAAGTAGTATGAAAGAAGCTTTTCACACACCTCCTTAATTGGGTACATAAGGCAAAAGACAATTTTACCCTTACTAAACATGGTAAGAATACAATTTAAAATAAAATGCAAGATATCAGGAAGATCCTTCCTCCTCCTTACAAATAACTTTTGAAAATATTAATACTGGGATTACAGGATTAGCTTTTTTTGAGCAAAGCTTGCCATATTTCTTTGTAGTGCATTATAATTTAGCAATGCAATATTATTTATAATTTAAACATTATAACACATAATTAAATCATTAAAACAGATGCTAATTTATTATTATCCCAACCTATTCAAAAGCGCAACATGAATTAAGCAAGATTTTGGATATTACACACAAAAGAATAAATTTGTTAACACTCAGTGAAGAGAAAAAGGACCCAGAGAAATAAGTTAATGTAAAATCAAGGATGCATTATTCCAGTTGGACTGTCAAAAGGAATTCCAGAAAGTTATAAAACAAAGATACTACTTTAAAGCAATGTATGCTAACTTTTTTAAAGCATGGTAACTCGCATTTCCAATTACTGAGAAGATAACGCCACCCACATTAGCATTTCTGGAAGACAAAAGTAAGCAAGCAAATTGTTTTTCCATTTTTTAATGTGGATGCTGAAAAAGACAGCTCTCTCTCTGTTTTTTATGCAAGGTAGATGCAAAGCCCTTTACAGCTCTCTTTGCAAGGCTGTTTTCACAGCTCAAGCTACAAGAGCAGAACAACTGTAAAGAAGCAGCAGCAGAGAAATATTTAGACAATTGGTCAACACCCTCCAGTTGTTCTCAGGATTACAGTTGTTTTCATAATGTGGTTATTAAAAACAAAAGTTTATAATTCACAAGAAACAAACACACAGTCTTTGTTTTCCAAAACAGCACTACACATGCATGTCAGGAAGAGAAAAAAGTGTGTATTTGCTGTGCTACCGTTTGTCCAACCACTTGCTCAAGCTCGCTGACAGATGCATTACAAAGCCGGTGGATGCTTCCAAACTGTTGCAGTAAAAGCAGAGCTTTCGTTTTCCCAACTCCTGGAATTTGTTGCACTGTCCTAAACACTGATGGCTCTGCCAGCTGAGAACGCTGTTTACGAAGAAAGGGGTTGCTGCTGTGATCCTTACTTTGTTCACGGACCTGAAGCAAAACAAAACCGTTAAGTGATGCCGAGTGCCCTCTGCTGGAGCTCTGATTTTGGCTTTAAAAATCGTTTCTTTAATCTCGAAAGAGTTCAATGCAATCACTAGGAAGTTTTACAAACAAGCTCCCTCCTTAAGTGTGTGCCCGTATTAAGGCTTTTGATGCAGATCCACACAGTCTCACTGGAAAACCAACAGTTTCTTAATACCAACCGTGAATTAAAACAGTGATTTTGTCATCTTTTTTATGCAATCACAGAAAGGATAAAGGGAAAAGAGAACACAGTTTCCTCCGCAAGATCTCAAGTCAGTTTTGATAGAGACCCTAAGTGAGGATTGCCTAAAGCCATCCAGCGCCACCTCAGTGCACAATCATGTTGAAAAATCCAGTATCATACTCTTCAACTTTTTTTTTGGTTCCCAAATGAGCCCTCTTTCCTCTTTTCCATATTAGCATTGCACAGTATTTATTCCTTACATTCAAACAACAAAGTATGTTGCATTGCCTTAAGATCCCGAATGTTCTTTCTGAAATGAGTTATAATTGCGGGAAAACAGGTAATTCTCCTTATGTCCCATATTTTAATAATTGTTTGTCCACTAACAGAAACTTACTAGCTGAGTAATAAGTTGAGAAGCTTCTCCTTGATTTGCCACAGGAAGCAACACCATTCCAAGTTCTAGCATAACAAGCTTTTGTACTGCCAAGAAGTACTGATCAGTTATTGGGGTTTTCTCTACAATTACAATTCCCCTGAGACTGCTGGCCTGCATTGAAAGGAAATTAGAAGAAAAGACCTGGTTAATAACAAACTGATACAATGCAACAGAGAGAAAACTGCTGTCAAAAATAAGCAAATGCAAATCAGAGGAAGAATGGAGGTTGCAGCAACAGTACTGGAATTTAATACAGCATTATTACACTGCTGTGTAATTTTTCAGTTTTCAGGTGGAAACAATCACTGAAGTTACACTCCACTAGAATTTAAAAATAACACAAAAATATTTTCTGAAGTATGGAACAAACAAGTATGAATGGAAAACTTCTCCTTTTCTTTACATGTAGTACTTACGTTTCTAAACCGAACCAATTTTCGTTTGAATTCATCCCCTGCAACCAAATCTGCTTCAGAAATATATAAAATGCAAGTCCTGTTTGAAAGATGAAAATCCACAAGTCCCAAGCCATCTTCAAAGAGAAGTCTAATTTTCCCTTAAGGTGAGATTGTTAAAAGAAAAAAATAAATAAATTCAAAATTAGTTTAAAATCTGCTAATAACTACTCCACAGCACAATCTTCCTAACATGTCAGCAATCCTGGTGACGTGACAACTAACTTCATAGTCTTTAAAAGCCTTTCTTCTCTTTAAGCAAAATCAGCACAAGCAACCCAAAGTACTGTGTGATGTCTTTAGTAAAGCCAATTAATAGCACTCTCAAACTACAGATTTGAAAGTGCTATAGCTTCTCAGTAAACTCTGGAGTTCAAAAAATCATCAAATGTTATTCTGAAAGGACCATCTTAATTTAGTTTGCTGTACCAAGAGATGACAGCACGGTCATGGAATCCGTGTAAATTCAAGGGACTTCAAGGAAAATGCATATTCACAATAGCACCGTTTCTGTGGCTCCCAAGAAGCAGATACTTCTGCTTCTTCTGTACAGTGCTCAGCAACTCTGCAAACGTGAGAGAACTGACCACATAGATACATGAAAAACGAATTTTTTAGCCTGCTAGCATAGGCTGTACCACAAATACAGCACCAGTCAGGCACAGAGTAAAGTATATTCCAGCATCTTAGAAACTCTGGGTCACAGTGGGAAAATGCTTTGGCTGAACTGTTTTTCCTCCTCCAGTTTGTCTGATCTTACCTTGTAGCCTCTGGGCTATCTCTGATCCTCTCCACTTCTCATTTCCAACCACATGCCCATAAGGGACAGATATAACAGAAACGTTTGCTTTCGTTGTCATCTGACCTTTAATTCTTCACTTCAGTAGCACTTACACCCTAGTAGGAAATGCAGAATATATACTGACACATTTTTATTAACCTGCTTCAAAATGAATTTTATTATTAAAATGTGTAAGATGTGATGCTCTGGAAGAGACACCATCTCCTCCCCGAAGCTACTGTACAGCTACAGCTAACACAGCAAAACCGGTAGGCATTGCTATTTACTTGAATAGAGGCTGTTGCCTTGGAAGTTCCACTCCCAGCGTGGCCAGTCACTCTGAAGAACACCTGAGCTAAGACACACAGGTGATAAACCCCCCCACAACAACCCACACCGCCCTTCTGTGCCTTCACCCACCCTTGCCAGGAAGGAAGTCGCTTCCAAGCTGACTCCAGACCCATCTCCGGCCTTCAGCCGGCACAAGTCGCCAGACGAATCACTAGAAGGCAGAGACGGTTTTCAGGTCTGCCAGCTCCGTGCGGCGCTCAGGCCCCAGGGGAGGCCGCAGGCCGCGCGCGCCTCAGCGCTGCGAACCGCCCGCCCGCCCGCCCGCGCGCCT